TTTGCCATAGGGCACATGCGCTTGCCAGAAAGCAAGACAGAGGGAAAGTGAGAAAGCACCCCCCAGCCCCCACCCCCGGGAGGATAGCCTTGCTGCAATCCCTTCTCCTCCATTCTCCTCTCAGGACTTTGGGCTCATCAACACGCATCCAGTGTGTTTGTCAAGTCATTGGGTCTGGGATTCAAACTGTGCATTTGGCCATGTGGAACCCAGTTGCCTTAACCTCCACACCACTTGTTGGTCTAGGGGAAAAGTAATTTTTTGGGGGGCGGGGGAGAGAGGTTTTTGCTATAGGGCGCATGCACTCACCAGAGAGACAGAAAGTGAGAAGAAAAAAAGGGAAAAACCCCCCCCCCCCGGGGGGGGGAGGCCACGCCTCAATCCCTTCTCCTCCATTCTCCTCTCAAGATCCTGGGCACACATGCACCCAGCGTGAGTTTAAGTCACAGGGTCCGGGACTCGAACCGTAGTCAACTACATGGGAGACCAGTGACATAGCCATTATGGCAACTGCTGGTCCCCAGGGGAGAAGTATTTTTAAATGATCAGCATCGGATGATCAATTACCCCTGGGAGGATGGCCACACCACAGTCCCTTCTCCATTCTCCTCTTGGGATTTTGGGCATGCATGCACCTGTGCCCAGCATGTTTTTCAAGCTGCTGGATCCAAAATTCAAACTGTGGAGTCACTTATGTGGGAGTACAGAGTACAATCTCTCCCAGTGTCATCTACACTGAGCACAGACAACAAGCTGCCAGTGTGAACGCCAGCAACTACACTGCCGTCACACTGGCTTTTCAGAAGGCATGGAGGACCAGGAGGCAGCTGTGTCCTGCTTTTATTTTTTTTTTAGGTTTATTTTTTAAGTTTTGCTATAGGACACGTGCACTTGCCAGAGAGACAGTGAGACACAGAGAAAGAGAGAAATTCCCTGGGGGATGGCCATGCCACAATCCCTCCTCCATTCTCCTCTCAGGATTTTGGGTGATGCATGCACATGTCCCCAGCATTATTTTTCAAGCTGCAGGATCCAGAGCTCAAATTGGGGAGTCACTTATGTGGGATCCAGCACTTTCACCACCACACCACCTGCTGGCCCTCACCAAACAAACTTGAAAGGGATCACCATCTTTTCCTAAGGAAAACTCAGTAAATGACATTACGAAACTACACAACTTGATCATATCTACGAAGTGGCTCATTTGTTGACACGACTACTTCTACTGTGAATGCGCAGCCCCCTCAGCTCTCCCCAGGCCAGTCCTGCTCGCCCCACCAGGAATCCTCATGCTCCCTCTGTCAGCTGGATAAGTTCGATCACTAATCTTCAAAATTCATTCAAAGTGACCTCATTTGGAAAATCATAGCTAAGCACTTACATATTTTGGTTGCCCAAATTAGTTTGAATGTGACTTGTGATGCATAACATACGTGTGTCACAGAAACAAGCACGATTTCGTTTACAGGCTAAGATATTAGCCATCGATTTCCAGGTGGTTTTCACAGCCTCAAACAAAGCTAAGTATACGGTGAATGGTCCTCACTGAACTCCAGAGGCCCCCGTAGTGAGGCAGCACTTGGAAAGAATCTTTGCTGGCTCCTTGAGACGTCTAGGGCATGACCGGCACCAACGGCACCCCCAGCAAGTGGTTTCTTGCCAGGCAGACCCTGGCCCATTGGGGGCTCGGATGCAGGCTAGCACTAAGCTGCCGCACATGCATGTGACAGATGAGCAGGATAAAGACTAGGGAGGGGTGGGCGCTTGTCCACTGGGAAGACTCTAATGTGGCCCTAGTGTTATTTTAGCACAAATGGAACTCAGAAAACCCTCTGCTGCCCTCTGGGTGAGCAAATTGGTTCCATTCATGAAGCATGTGTTGAGCACCTGTTTCAAGTGTCCTGAAATGTCCCCTGCACTTGGAGCTGGGGCTTGTGGCTGGGTACCCGGGAAACTCTGACATGGAAAGTTCTGGGTACTACTGAGCAGCTCACACTTGCTGAAGTCCAGTGACGTGCACGTCACTGGGTCAGGACTATGCAGGCCCCTCACTCAGTCCCCTCAGCACTCTTGGGAGGGAGGCAGCACCTGTAGTCCACAGGCTGGGATCTGAGGCCAGCAGAGGAAGCTTGGCTAGGAACTGGGTTTGCCAGCTCCAAAGCCAGCCTTCTTTCTACTGCAGCAGGCGGTGTGGCCACTGGGTGGTGGAAGAGACAGCTCTCCCAGCCAGCTCCGGGTCAGGCTAACATGCAATCATCCAATCCCAAACGACTCTCCTCGCCCACGCTCCTATGGCACCCAGGCTTAATCCCTCTCTGCTTCCTTTCCTTTCTGTGGGGTTTTCCCTTGATTGCTGCCCTTCCTTAGAGGAGCAAAGGATTACCTGCCATCCGAGGACTCTAAGCTGGTCTCACCTGTGTAACGACATGGCTTGTATCTTAATTCACTCTGGCCACACCCTGGCCTAGGGCTGGTCCTCTTGGTCCTACTCCTGGCTTCCTGATCCTATTACATGGTGGTGACCCTTGGTAGGCAAGACTGCTAGAGGGACTCTTTGAAGACTGGGGACTGACAAAAACAGGAAAGAATGTAAATTTCATAAGGTTGGAGTGTCATATGTCAATCAAGATTTTAAAGTGGACTACTAGAGAGCGTCACGCTGGGTGGTCCCATCCAGCAGAACGTCCAGAGATGATGGACCTTATCTGTACCATCCAACAAGGTAGCCACCAGCTACCTTGGGCACTGAGGATTTGAAATGTGGCCAGAGTCACTGAGAAACTGAGTTTTAAGTTTAATCTAAATTTAATGAACTTTGAGCAACTGCACATGGCTAGTTCCTACTGAATTACAGTACCTATAAACTAGATTTCAGTAAGAGAGTTGGCGGGATCTTGGACTGCTCTGCGGACGGCATGGAGACACACGGGCTGGCAGGGCAGTCTGGCAGATGCACTCACACTGTCTGAGCGGCCATTCTCAGGGAGGTGTGAATGCACCCACAAGTACCCGAGAGGTCTCAAGTGAAGGGCTGAAGGACTCAGTGTTTCTCTTCATTCTAGTCCACTTGTGCCTTCTAATCTGAATACTTTGAAGTTCTCAAAGGCTCCTGGAATCCCAGCAGATCAGGACGGACTGTAGCTATGGACAGAGGCAAGATGCAGCATGGACAAATCACCATCCTACACCTGGCTTGGAGGTCCAGCTGTGCCTGGCTACACAACGGAGGCTGTCCTATGGATGTGTACACTTGGGGTCTCACGGGTTCAAGGACACCCACAGGACAACACGTATGTTCAAGAAGCAAACGGGGACCTGGCGTGGGGGCCCATTGAGGTCAGGGCTGCTTTACTCTCCATCATGACCATTAGACCAGACCTAAAGTCCAGAGGACAGACAGGTGAAGGGATCCCCTCTTAGTGCCCAAGGAGGGAGCAGGAGCTGCATTGCCTGGAGAGCAGGAAGAGGCTGAGGCGGGTACAGACCTTCAAACAACATAGTTATTCCTGGACCTGGTGGTTGAAGTCAGAGCAGAGATGGAAGCTATTTGGAAAGAGGCTTTGGCTCAACATAGGTAGAACTTTCTGAGGCCATGAAAGCTCTCGGTGTGGGATGCAGTCTCTGGAGGAATAATTTGCCTTTACTGGGGGTTCAATGAGAGGCTAGATACTGGTCAGGAGGGGACAGGGAAGAGTCGAGGCTCAGAGTCTCAAGGGGGAAAGGATCATCATGCAGATGACAAGGCGCCTTCCCACCTGAAGTTCTGGCTCCTGCAGTCCGATGCACTCCTGTCGTAACCAGAAGCAAGAGGCTGGCCTGCTCTAAGTCCCGAACAAGGCCTGAGCCCACACACAACTGGGCCCTTGAGCTTACACCTACCAGAGGTTCACCTGGCTACCCCATTCAGACCAGAAAAGTCAATTCTTCCTTTTAGATTAAAAAAAAAAAGTACATATCAGAAAACAGTCCAAGAAGTGGAGGTAAGGCCTTTGGGTACTTCACTTCCAAAGGGAGCAGCCCCCTGTACAGCTGGCTCTGAAGTCGTCCATCTGCAGCGAGCCGTCCTGTGCCAGCTCATGCTGGGAGAGCTTACGGTGAGGGCTTCTGCGTGGCCCCTGAGGGTCTGGAGCAGAAACCTTGCAGCCAGCAGGGGCTTGCTGATGACTCTGGGGGGGAGGTGGGTAGGGGTGACCTGGGTGAATGAGGGGGCTCTCTATGGGCCCATCTCTCAAGTTGGTACTGAGGAGCCAGAGACAGCAAACACAGGGTACTCCCAAATATGCCACATTTGCTGGTCGCAGCTCAGGAGGATGAAAGAAAAGTTAAGAGTAGGCTGGAGGCTGGAATTCTGTGTTAAGCCAAAAATTTTTCTTTTTTTTTTTTTTTTTTTTTTTTTTAGATTTTTGCCAGAGTGCATGTACTTGCTGGAGAGAGACAGAGAGAGAAGAGTGAGAAATCACCCCCCTTCTTCAGGGGAATGGCCACACCCCGTCCGTTTTCCTTCGAGATTTTGGGCATGCATGCACATGTGCTCAGGGTCATTTTCAAGTCGGTGGGTCACGAACTCAAACTGTGGTTGGCCACGTAGGAACCCAGCGCCTTAACTACCATGCCACCTGCTGGTCCCAACTTTCTCAATTCTTCAACCTCCAAAAAGATACCTGAACTGTCTGTTATAGCTTCATTAGGATTAACCTTAGAGGTAATTCCACCTTCTAAAGAGCAGCAAATGTGTTTCCATTTCTCCTCATGAGGCTGATCACAGAAACACAGAGATTGCTCCTGAGCCCCCAGTGTCTGCTCGTCTGTCCCCTCTGTGGACTTAGAATCTTGCAAGATACTCTGGCCATTTGCAGCGTGCTCATCAAAGGCAGTGGGCAAACAGCACAGGCTTCAGTTTGGGGCTTTAATAGGTAAACCTTCCGTAAGAGCCTAGATCTATGGCTACCAGCCTTGAGGGTGGTTGGGAGTAAGCGACACCTGCAGAGGGAGCCAGCAGAGCACCGACACTTTAGTTTATTGCATTCTGAAGGACCACGGGGAGGCCTGAGAACAAGTCTGCTTTATCAGCAGTTCTAAAGCCTTATTACCTGAGATTCGCATTCTGGAAAAGAAAAAAAAGACAATAATGGATAATCAATATGTATCTCATGAGGCTGGGTTTCAGCCCTGATATAAGACTAAGCTGGAAAAGGCTATGTGAGAGAAAAGAGAGAAATCACCTAAATACCAGATCCCGGACAAAGATGTGGGTTTAACAAGGCTAGCCACAGACTTGAACATGACATCTCCCTTTGGGGTAGTGAGACACCTGGCCCGCAGTGGAGCCCAGGTGCTAGGGCAGCTCCCTCCCCAGGGAGTTGTCCTCTGCAGCGTCCCAGGAAGGCCAGCCTCAGCACGTCACTCTTGGTGTCTGGACCCTCTCACTTCTCATCATCACGTCCGTAGTTAATAGTTTGTAAGGCCTGAGCAATGAGCATCGCCATCTCTCGGGTGCCGGCAGCAACCACTCTGCAAGACATGAGGTCGAGGGGTCCACCTGGGGACAAGAGGGAGAGAGAGCCCTGCTTGGTTACCGGAGGGTGAACAATTACATACTCGTCAAAGACAACAGCACATGGGACCACGCTCCAGTCCCACGGCCCATACCAAACAGTTGGTTTAGAAGTGAAGCTGGCAAAGCCAAAAGGGTCAGAGCCTCTCTTCACCTGCTCTCCCCAGCAGTGGACACAGTCCAGGCTGTACAGCACCAGTGAGTCTCTGGAGCTGCCACTGTCCTCGAGACTGTGTGGCAGAATGGAGAGTCCACAGAAATCCCCATGGTGGGCTAGAGCAGGATGGGGGGGAGCAGTCCCTCCCCAACATTACTAGGCATATGGGTCACTGGGGGCCTTAGGGAATGAAGACTCTGATTCAGCAACTCTAGGTAGGGCCAGGAGGTGGCCCTTCCAACTAGCTGGTGGAAATGCCATGGCTGCCGATCTGGGGACATGCCCTGAGTAACTCAGAGTGTTGGTGAAGCCTGCTGCCTTCCTGCTGGGGTATGAATCAGGACTGACTGTATGGCTGCAGTCTTGGCTACTCATGTGGTGAAGTCCAGAGTGTTGGATGCTTTTATAATGTAAACTGGCCTGCCTAGTGAAGAAACACTAAGGCTGATAACTTTATTTGCACGCTCACATGCCTGAAGCAATTCTCAAGCTACCAGGTCTGGGACTCGAACTGCGGTTGGCAATGTGGAAGTCCAGTGCCTTAATCACCATGTCACCTGCTGGTCCAATTTTTATACTTTTCTGATAATTCACTTAAGATTTTTCAAAGGAGAAATAGGAAAAAAGTAGAAATCAAATGACAAAAGATCTGTGGTACATACCCAATCATTAAAAGTGAGCTGCTGTGTTTCCACTAACAAACTATGGGTTAAACTAGCTCATTAGGATTAACCTTAGAGGTAATTCCACCTTCTAAAGAGCAGCAAATGTGTTTCCATTTCTCCTCATGAGGCTGATCACAGAAACACAGAGATTGCTCCTGAGCCCCCAGTGTCTGCTCGTCTGTCCCCTCTGTGGACTTAGAATCTTGCAAGATACTCTGGCCATTTGCAGCGTGCTCATCAAAGGCAGTGGGCAAACAGCACAGGCTTCAGTTTGGGGCTTTAATAGGTAAACCTTCCGTAAGAGCCTAGATCTATGGCTACCAGCCTTGAGGGTGGTTGGGAGTAAGCGACACCTGCAGAGGGAGCCAGCAGAGCACCGACACTTTAGTTTATTGCATTCTGAAGGACCACGGGGAGGCCTGAGAACAAGTCTGCTTTATCAGCAGTTCTAAAGCCTTATTACCTGAGATTCGCATTCTGGAAAAGAAAAAAAAGACAATAATGGATAATCAATATGTATCTCATGAGGCTGGGTTTCAGCCCTGATATAAGACTAAGCTGGAAAAGGCTATGTGAGAGAAAAGAGAGAAATCACCTAAATACCAGATCCCGGACAAAGATGTGGGTTTAACAAGGCTAGCCACAGACTTGAACATGACATCTCCCTTTGGGGTAGTGAGACACCTGGCCCGCAGTGGAGCCCAGGTGCTAGGGCAGCTCCCTCCCCAGGGAGTTGTCCTCTGCAGCGTCCCAGGAAGGCCAGCCTCAGCACGTCACTCTTGGTGTCTGGACCCTCTCACTTCTCATCATCACGTCCGTAGTTAATAGTTTGTAAGGCCTGAGCAATGAGCATCGCCATCTCTCGGGTGCCGGCAGCAACCACTCTGCAAGACATGAGGTCGAGGGGTCCACCTGGGGACAAGAGGGAGAGAGAGCCCTGCTTGGTTACCGGAGGGTGAACAATTACATACTCGTCAAAGACAACAGCACATGGGACCACGCTCCAGTCCCACGGCCCATACCAAACAGTTGGTTTAGAAGTGAAGCTGGCAAAGCCAAAAGGGTCAGAGCCTCTCTTCACCTGCTCTCCCCAGCAGTGGACACAGTCCAGGCTGTACAGCACCAGTGAGTCTCTGGAGCTGCCACTGTCCTCGAGACTGTGTGGCAGAATGGAGAGTCCACAGAAATCCCCATGGTGGGCTAGAGCAGGATGGGGGGGAGCAGTCCCTCCCCAACATTACTAGGCATATGGGTCACTGGGGGCCTTAGGGAATGAAGACTCTGATTCAGCAACTCTAGGTAGGGCCAGGAGGTGGCCCTTCCAACTAGCTGGTGGAAATGCCATGGCTGCCGATCTGGGGACATGCCCTGAGTAACTCAGAGTGTTGGTGAAGCCTGCTGCCTTCCTGCTGGGGTATGAATCAGGACTGACTGTATGGCTGCAGTCTTGGCTACTCATGTGGTGAAGTCCAGAGTGTTGGATGCTTTTATAATGTAAACTGGCCTGCCTAGTGAAGAAACACTAAGGCTGATAACTTTATTTCTATCTTTTTTTTTCTTTTTTTTTTTTTTTTTTTTTTTTTTTTTTTTTTGCCATAGGGTGCACGAGCTCACTAGAGAGCGAGACAGAGAGGGAAAGTGAGAAATCATCCCCCCAGGGGGATGGCCATGCAGCAATCCCCTCTCCTCCATTCTCCTCTTGTCATTTTGGGCATGCACGCTCACATGCCTGAAGCAATTCTCAAGCTACCAGGTCTGGGACTCGAACTGCGGTTGGCAATGTGGAAGTCCAGTGCCTTAATCACCATGTCACCTGCTGGTCCAATTTTTATACTTTTCTGATAATTCACTTAAGATTTTTCAAAGGAGAAATAGGAAAAAAGTAGAAATCAAATGACAAAAGATCTGTGGTACATACCCAATCATTAAAAGTGAGCTGCTGTGTTTCCACTAACAAACTATGGGTTAAACTAGCAGAGAATGGCCTCTCGTGAGCATTTGCCTGGCCCCTGACTGTTACTGCTGATGTCAGGTGAGCAGTCTGCCTGAAGCTCTGAAGATGTACATGGCGCTCACTCATGTTCCCGGGAGGTCAGTCACTGAGATCCACGTGACCTTGAAGTGGGACAGGCCATCTTCTGGACCCATGAGCCTAAGTGCAGTAGGATGCTCCTGCCATATACTGGTGCTGACCTATGGGGTCTTGGGGAAGTACTTAGCCTCAGAAATTGGAGGAACAAGATACCTGTCATCTGTCTCTGTATTTCTGTGGAGTCTATACATATGTGAAAGCCCTCAAAATACTGTCAATGCTGTGTAAGGGTCAAGTGGTGGCACAGCTGCTCTCTGGCCGAGATGTCCTGATCCCACAGTCTGAAGGAAGGACGGGAAGGAAGTTGATAGGCCTGGCCCACTGCTATCCCGTACCCTTGCATGGTCTCACCCACAGAACTCTCAGGATGTAGGGAATCAGTATGGTGGGGACCTCAGGAAGTGGCCCTCCCATGGAGTCACTTGGTGGCGACCTGGGGATAGGAGGGCGAGGTGAGGGTAGGAGAGCTCACCCGAAGTATCTATCACAATGCCGCCTGCTTCTCTGATGATGACCGTGGCGGCTGCCAGGTCCCAGCAGTGCAGGCCAAACTGGTAGTAGGCGTCTGCAGCCCCCGAGGCCAGGTGACAGAGAGCCAGGGTAGAGCTTCCAATCACGCGGACCCTGGGGAGAGGGAAAGGAGAAGAGAGGCAGGCAGACATGGGGTTGGAGTTCCTCATGCAGTGTGTGTGTGCTGGCTTCATCCAGTCACCCTCTCTGCTGGGCATGCACAGCAGTCAAAGCAGGTCACAGGGCATCTGTCAATGGGCTCAGGATGCAAAACCCAGGGTGTGGAGCAGCCCTACCCCACAGACCTCTCTGCCATGCTGTACGTGTTCTGCACTGAGGTAGCTCCCCACAAGTGGCTGCTGAGCCCCTGACGTTTGGCTACTGCAACAAGGGACGAAACTACTGAACTTGACACTCACTTCCTGTGGCTGATAGTTACAGCGTACATCTTCAGGAAGGATGAGGATTCACTTGGCTTTAGTAAACATTTAGGAAAAATATATCAGAGTGCTGTCTGAAGCCAAGTCCTCTTAGGAAGGACTCATAAGTATAGGCAGGCTTCGCTGTTGAGTGACTTGAGATCCACTATGTGGATTTCTTTTCTTTTCTTTCTTTCTTTCTTTCTTTCTTTCTTTCTTTCTTTCTTTTTTTTTTTTTTTTTTTTTTGACACAGGGTACATGTGACCACTAGGGAGAGTAAGAAATAGAAAGGATGGGGAGAAAGCACTCCCATGGGGAATGGCCACATCACAATCCCTTCTCTCCATCTCTCCCTCCTTCTGGGATTTTGGGCATGCATGCACACAGGCCTGGTGTGTTTCTCAAGCTGCCAGGTCCGTGACTTGAACTGTGTAATCCACCATGTGGGATTCAGCTCCTGTAACCACCAGACCATGGGCTGGCCAACTTGGATTCTTCAAACACTGATCAGAAGAGACAGAGGGTCCCCTCTGTTTGTTGATCCCTGTCCACCAGAGTATCGGTCCCAGAGGATGAGCACACTGAGCCTCCCGGGGGCCTCCTGCTCCTGTCACACAGGGGTTTCCTCTTCAAGGCCTCGGGAGAGGATTTTGCAAGTGTGTGTGTTTGGTTCTCTCCCTTCTGGCCACAGGGTACTCCCAGAACTGAAACTCCTTACCCATGAGCCTTGGCGTGCAGCAGCCGCTCCATGTTACTCAGGAACAATTTCAGAGTGGCAGGGTCACGTTTGGGGCCGATTTCTGTTAGAACCAAGGCCTTTGAGAGATCTGCAATAGAAAGAATTGCCTGGCATTATAAAAAGCATGTCTTGGGTCTAACTCAATAGTCAGGGATTCTCTGAAGGAACCTTGAAATATCAGCCTCTCATTCTTTCTCACAGAAAGGCTCATCTTTGGAGTGGCTTATGCTATCAGGTTTTTCTGATAACTACATGTTGAAAAGTAAAGACTGGGGTTGGCAGATGGTGTGGTGGTTAGGGGTGTTGGACTTCCCACATGGCCACCCATAATTCAAGTCCCAGACCTGGCAGCTTATTCTCTCACTTTCCATCTCTCTCTCTCTCTTGCTCTGTCCCACTCTGGTCAAGTTAAAAAAATAAGTAAATTTAAAAAATAAAGTTAAATAAAATAATTCTTAAAAACAATAAAGAAAATTAAGGACCATCGTTCTTTCTAAGCTGCGTTCTGTTTCTGATTGCCTGATAGTCAGGCTTTTTATCCACTGTCTTTTCCGGGATAGTTCAGCTTATCTGGGTAGCATGAAGACAGAGGCTTCTGAAAATCACCATTATTTGGTCACGAAGACCAGAGTTCTTCAAAGAGTTTATGGAAGGGACCAGCAGTTGGCCTAACGGCTATGTCTCTGGACTGCCATGTAGTCGACTGCGGTTCAAGTCCCAGACCCGGTGGCTTAAACTCACGCCGGGCGTGTGTGCGTGCGTGCCCAAGATCCCGAGAAGAGAATGGAGGAGAAGGGATTGTGGCATGGCCATTCCCCTGGGGGGGTGATTTCTCACTTTCTGTCTCTCTGTCTCTCTAGCAAGCACACATGCCCTATAGCAAAAACCTCTCAAAAAAAAAAAAAAGAATAAAAAAAAGTTTATGGAAAATAGAACTAAACTACAAGTTTATTTTGGTGCAAAAAATATTCAAATTCATGCATAGTTTTTCATAATATACACTATATATGTGTACAGACACATATATACATATAAGTGTCAGAGGCACATCCCCTCACTGGAGAGAGAGAGAAAGGACACCCAAATGGGGTATGGCCATGCTAGAATCCTCTTTCCTCTCCTCCTTCCTGTCAGGACTGTGGACATACAAACACATGTGCTGGTGCATTTCAAAAGCACCTGGGCCAGGATTTGAACCACGGATGGCCATGTGGGACCTGACTCCCCATGCACAGGGCTTAACCTGCTGCACTACAGGGCTGGCCCTCCATGAAGATCCATCATAAAAACAAAATGACTCCAAACTGGGAACCTATCGTTTGGACAAGGCGGAGAGATGCCTCATCAAACAAGTCTTTCTAAGAGGTTTTAATAAAAACCTTCCAGGCCAGTCAGGGCTGAGGTGGCTGAGCAGACTAGATCCCGCATGGCCAACGACACAGCTGGAATCCAGGACCTGGTGGCTTGAGAAACACGCTGTGTGGGAGTGCACGTAGGCTCAAAGTCCTGAGGGGGGAGAAATGGAGGAGGGAGGATTGCAGCATGAACATTTCTCTGGGGAGGTAGGTGCTTTCTCACTTTCCTTCCCTCACTCTCTCTGGCAAGCACACGCACACTTTGGCAAATATAAAACACATCTATAAACCAAAATCTTTTGCTGCTATGATCACAAAGATGGAATGTCATTGCTGTGGACAACGACACTGCTTTTGGAATAATGCTGTCTTTGGAAAGGGGAGCTTCAGGAGCAACCCCTCAAGATACAGGAAGACTGCCACCTGTAAAGGCTCAGCTGTCTCACGGTGGGAGCCACACAGGCATGAAGGCTAAGCACACCATTTCTTCAACTGGGTGGGCGCCACTGCCAACGCCAGCAAGCCTGGCTTGGGGGCGTGGGGGACGTGCCTGGGACGTTGCTCTTGTCCTGACTCATGGCCAGGGATTGGAAGCACTTTATTCTTGCTTTACCACACAGGCGAACACAGCCAAACCTGTCACATCCTGCCAGGCCTCGCACTCAGGCACAGCGTCGCCACACCAGGCGCCATGCACAAGTAACAGAAACTAAGTCGCTCCGCGAGTGGAGGGAAAACAGGCTGCCACATCTCTTCACTCACTGGGCCCAATTCTGTGCTGTCGTTTTCAACTCATCCTCTCACCCAGGAAGTCTCCCCTCAGACAGAACCTATGCCTATTTGTCCCTTCTTCCATCACAACTTTCATTTTGTATTTTAAACACTTTCGGAAAAGCACCTGGCTCCACACCAAAGCAACCTGCCTTCAGGAGGTACCAATTGCTCAATTCCTGACACACCCAGCACCAAAATGGAGCTAACACGCACCTGCTAGGTGTCTGGGCATGCCTGGCACTGCCTGCAGAGCTCAGGCAGCTGTTCGCTCATGACAGCAGACAATGGGGCTGGTGGTTCCAGGTGCTCCCAGTAATCACTGCAGGATCTCCGTGGTCAGGATCCAGTTAACCTTGCCACTATTCACGCTCCAAATCCCACCCTCACTTGGCCACAAAGATAGCATTTTTCCAGGAAACAAGAAAGAGATGTCTTTCTCAGGCACAGAGGGCACTCTCTAGACAGTTTCTGCATGAATGAATGAATGAACACTCTCTCTCAGTATCAGCATTATAAAACCGTGAGAAGAAGTCTTTTGTGTTGGTTTAGTTTGTTAAGTTACTAGCATTTTCAACCTAGGGGAGGAATTGTTGAGTTGGGTAGAATTTTGTTGGCGGGTCTAAGAATCTAATGCTATATATAATGTTACTTTTGGAGGAAATTAATTCTGAATTTTAGTTAAAAAATGCTTTTTTGGCCCAGCTACTGTGGCATAAGTACCTTGCAAGGCTGGAAGCTATGTGCTGGCTGCAGGTTGGATCCCTGGGTGGGCTTGAAAACATGCCAGACATGGTTGTGTGCTCAGGATCCTGCAGAGCTAGAGGGCTGGAGAAAGGGGACCACCACACAATATGCCATCAGGGGTGCCTCTCTCTCGCTCTATTTCTCTGAAGTATATACATTTTCTATCATTAAAGAAAGTTGTCTAGGGGCTAGCAGATGGCGTAGTTGTTAAGGCGCTGGACTCCCATAGGGCCAACTGCAGTTCAAGACCTGGCTTGAAAATCATGCCAGGCACATATGCGTGTGCCCAAAATCCCAGGAGGAAAAGGGATTGTAGCATGGCTATTCCCCCTGGGGAGAGACTTTCTGCCTTTCACTGTGTCTGTCTTCTCTCCAGTAAGTGCATGTGCCCAATGACAAAAACCTTTAAATAATGATAATAAATAAAATTAAATAGACAAATATTTTTAAATACAAATTTTGAATGTATTTAAATAATATATTTAAAAATACATTTTCAAATGCTGTTTTTAAAGGTCAATATTATAATTTGGGGAATGCCTGTTATTATTAAAAACAGAAATTGAACTCACCAAAGTAAGAGCTACAGATGACAAATAAGACCATGAAAAGATGTTCTACATAGTGTCATCAAGGAAATGCAAATGAACAGAATGAGACGCTATGACACAGTCATGAGAACGGCCCAAACCCAGAACATTGACAACACCAAATGCTGGTGAGGATGTGGAGCAACAGGAACTCTCATTCATGGTTGGTGGGATGCAGAATGAAGACAGCTGGGCAGTTTCTTATAAAATGAAACACACCCTTAACATTGCTGTACCACCCAGCAATCACGCTCTTTGGGGATTACCCAAAGGAGGTGAGAGCCATGTCTTCCTTCCTTCCCTCCCTTTTTACCATGCTCAGTTCTTTCAGTCTTGCTGTATTGCCCAGGGCCACCTCGGGCTGGTGATCCTCCTGACTCAGTTTGCCCCAGTCCCTGAGATTACATGTCAGCATGCTCAGCCTTTAGGTTGGACCCAGAATCAAACTTGGGCCTCCCATGTGGTCCTAGCCTGTGGAGCACAGAGCCTTAGCAGCATGTGCCACTGTGAGTAGGTCAAAAAATTATGTTTTTATTCATACAAAACCTTTGTATGAAAACCATACACGAATGTTGACTGCAGCTTTATTCATTATTGGCAAAAATGTGGAAGCATCCGAGATATCCTTCAGTGCATGAATGGATAAACTAACACATCCAGACAACAGAATTATTCAGTGATTAAAATGAAATGATCAAGCCATAAAGAGACATGGCATACTACTAAGTGCAAGAAGGCATATTAAAGGCATATTACTAAGTGAAGAAGTCTGACTGAAAAGTTCCATACTGTATGATTCCAACCATATGACCTGGAAAAAGCAACACTATGGAGACAGAAAAAAAGGTCAGTGGTTGTCAGTGGCTAGACGGGAGAAGAGATAAACAGACGGAGCCCTGAGAAACTCTAGGGCAGCGAACCTGTTCTAAATGACACTGTAACAGTGAGTACATGTCATTTTACATTTGTGAAGATCCACAGAATGGGGCCAGCAGGTGACAAGATGGTCAAGGCCCTGGACTCCCACATGGCTAACCACAGTAAGAGTCCCAGACCTTGTGGTTTGCTTTCTCACATTCCCTCTCTTTCATTCTCTGTCTTTCTCTGATGAGTACGCATGTCCTATAACAAATTAAAATAAATAAATAATTCTTCAAAACATAAAAAGTAGGGACGAGCAGATGGCATAATTGTTATGTCACTGAACTCCCATGTAGTCTACTGCAGTTTGGGCCCCAGACCTCATGACTTAAAATTCATGCCAGGTGCGTGTGTGTGCATGCCCGAGATACCAAGAGGAGAATGGAGGAGAAGAGACTGTGGCATGGCCATCCTCCCTGGGGGGATGGGGGGGGGTGGGGTGACTTCTTGCTTTTTGTCTCTCTGGTGAGTACATGTGCTCTATAGCAAAAATCTCTCTAAAAAATATTAATTAAAATAAAAAGATAAATAAAATCCACAGAATGTACAACGTCAATAGTGAACTCGACTGTAACCGTGGACTCTGGGTGATCACGACGTGTCACTCAGGTTCCCTGACTGTAACAAAATACCACCTTGGTGGGGAACGCCGTGTATGTATAGGGAAATCTTGGTACCTTCCTTTCAATATCGCTGTGCACCAA